CTTCAATACTGTTAAAATGGCAATATTCCACCAACTGATCTACAAATCCAGCAAAATTCTTATCAAAATGCTGATGCTTTTTTTCTACAGAAACTGATAAGCTGGTTATAAAATTGATATGGAATTGTAAGGGACCCAGAAAAACCAAAACAATCTGCAAAAAACAACTGAAGGACTTAACACTTCCTGATTACAAAACACACAATCGGAAGACGGTAATTAAGGCAGTGTGGTACCAGTGTGTGGGTAGGCATATCAATCAACGGAATAGAAATGAGAATCCAGAAATAAATCCTTCCATTTGTGGCAGACTGGTTTCCAACCAGAGTACCACGGCAATTCAAAGGGGGAAACAACAGCCTTTCAACTAACAGTGGTGGGGCGACCGCATACACACAAGTTATAGAAGGCAGACGCATTCTACTCCCATCATATTCAAAAACACTGAATCTAAGTGATTCACAGGGGCTGGCACTGGGTCACAAAAGGGTAAGCCTCCACCAACAACACTGGCATCCCGTATCAGAGTGCCTGCTTGAGTTCTAGCTGCTCTATTTCTGATCCAGAACCCCACTAAAGCACCCGGGAAAGCAGCAGATGATGGTCCAAGTACTCGGGCCTCTGCCACCCATGTAGGAGACCCGGATGGAGTTCTGAGCTCCTGGCTTTAGCCTGGCTCAGCTCTGGCCATGCTGCCATTTGGGAACTGAACCAGTGGATAACAGATCTCTGTCTCTGTCTCTCTTTCTTTTAAATAAATAAATCCTTAAAAAAGTGAATTACAGACTTAAATATAACAGCAAAAATTATAAAAGAAAACATAGAGTAAGTCACAACCTTGGGTTAGGTGAAGGTTTCTTAGATCACACCAAAAGCACCAGAGACTAAAGTAAAAACAAACTAAAATACAGAAAAATGTAAAATGGTTAGATACTACCAAGAGATACTACCAAAAAAAAAAAAAAAAAAAACCTCAAAAGCAAACTAATAGAATAGAAACAAATACTTCTAAATCACTTATCTGATAATAGACTTGTGTTCAAAATATGTAAAGAGTTCTTACAACTCAACAATAAAAAGACAAATAACCCAAATAAAAATAGGCAAAGGACTTGAATAAACATTTCTCAAAATAAGATATAAATTGCCAATAAGCACATAATAAGATGTTTAATATCATTAGTCATTAGAGAACTACAAATCAAATGAGATAATACTTTAGCCATTAGGATGGGTAACATAAGATAATAACATATGTTGGTGGGGAAGTAGAGAAATTTGAACCCCCATGCTTTGCTGGTGGGGATATAAAATGTCATGAATTACTTGGAAAAGAGTTTGGCAGGTCTTCAAATTGTTATACAGAGTTCCCATCCGACCTAGGGACGTCACTCCCAGAAACATACCCCAGAGAAATGACAACACGCATGCACACAAAACCTTACACGTGAAGAGTCATAGCAGCAGTCTTCCTAACAGTCCCCTGGAAACAAGTCAAACACTCATCGACTGACGAGCAGATACACAAAATGCCCCGTCTATATAGCGGAACATCACTCAGCTACAAAAAAGCAGTACTGATTGATGTTACAACACTTAAATCCTGAAAACATTATGTGTAAGTGGAAAAAGACAAATACAAAAGGTCACTTATTATGATTTCTAGGAAATATCCAGAACTGGTAAAATCACAATAACATGAAGCAAATTAGTGACTGCAGGATGCTGTGGTGGAAGGTGGCCATGAAACGGCATGGTGTTTCTTTTTAAGGTAATGGAAATGTTCTCAAGTTACGTAACAGTGACAGTCAGATAACTCTGTGAATAAACACGTCTCAGGAACACAGAATTGTGTACTTTGAAAGGGCGACTTTATGTATGTGAATTGTATTTCAACCAAACTATGATAAACAGATAATGAAATCAAAATGGAGAAATAAAAAAGTTGTCACCATAGAAGCATGAAAAACAAACTGGGAACATGGGAACATGCAGCATTTTTTGAAAGCTACTGAGGAGGAAAAAAACGTCCTTGGTTGAAAAGGAGCCTCATGGCAGAAGCTTGCTACACAGGGCCTTCAAGTGCCACGCAATCCACAAACCTGCAGGGTTGGAACACAGGGTCCAACTTTGGCACAGGTTTAAGGGAGTTGGGAAATCTTCCTCAAAAATGTGGACATGCCGGCATTCACGCAGGCTTGCAGTCTGAGCAGTGTGTTAGGGGCCATCTTAGGCCAAAAATATCTTGGGCAGAGAACTTAATTTATAGTGGTTTCAACGGGACAGCAAGTTTAAGATATCATTGAGATAGTTTCAAATGAGAAAAAAACAAGTTTTTCTTAGAGTGAAATAAGGGGTTGATATCTTTAATATGTAGAGTTTACATAAATCATCTGGAAAAATAATAAAATACCCAATATAAATGGTCAAATGTTTTGAAGTTCAGCGCTCATGGGGATTAGCAATGGCTAATAAACATGAATAATGGTTGAACCTTACCAGTATTTAAGAAATGCAAACAAAACAAGAAATGAAAAAGCCAATCAGATAACACTGCTGACTTATCAGAGTAGCCCAACTTAAAAAGTACCAAGTAGAGTGCAGACGCTGTGGAAGTGCAAAGCCTGCATGCAGTTACGTGCGTTTTAGACCCCAGCCTTCCTTCTTGGAATCTAGCCCAAAGAAACAGTGCTAAGTTTGGACACAATATTTATTGCAAATGATGTTTATAAAAATATTAGATGTGAATAAAAAAGGAGAAACTACATAGTTTCTTCTTCCAATACTGAAAAGAATGGGTAAATAAACTATATTATATATATATACATATATAATTTTAATGCTGTATTGAAATTTTAAATGGTGTCTATAGAATATATAATTATATGATTATATGGGGAACAATGTAAAATATAATCTTAAAAACAGAGAACAGATAATTGTACACCATTATACTACCAGGTTTTATTTGAAAGGCAGAGTGACACACACACACGAGAGAGACAGAGAGAGATAGAGACAGAGAGGGGGAGAGAGAGAGAGAGAGACAGAAAGAGACAGAGACAGAGAGGGAGACTGAGAGGGAGAGGGAGAGGGAGAGGGAGAGGGAGAGAGAGAGAAAGACAAAGATTTTCCATTTACTGGTTCACTCTCCAAATGCCCGCAATAGCTGGTGCTGGGCTGGGTTGGGCCAGGTACAAGCCATGGGCCAGGAGAACTCTACCCAGGTCTCCCACTCGGCCTGCGCCCCAAGTGCCTGAGCCATCCTCAGCCGCCTCCCATGGTCATGTTAGTGGGAAGCTGGCTCAGAAGCAGAGGCAGGACTCAATCCCAGGCACTCCAATACGGGATGTTTGAGTTCAAACAGGGCCCAATCCCTGCACTCCAATGCTCATCTTAGCTATATTTTAGATAGAAACATAAAACACAGAAATAAAGAATGGCAGGGGGGCCGGCGCCATGGCTCACTTGGTTAATCCTCCGCCTGCGGCACCAGCATCCCATATGGGCACCGGGTTCTAGTCCCGGCTGCCCCTCTTCCAGTCCAGCTTTCTACTGTGGCCTGGGAAGGCAGTGAAGGATGGCCCGAGTGCTTGGGCCCCTGCATCCGCGTGGGAGACCAGGAGGAAGCACCTAGCTCCTGGCTTCGGATCGGTGTAGCTCCGGCCATAGTGGCCATTTGGGGGTGAACCAACAGATGGAAAACCTTTCTGTCTCTCTCTCACTGTCTAACTCTATCTGTCAAAGAAAAAAAAAAAGAATGGCAGGAAGTATATTAAAATTTCAGTGGCAGATATCTCTGGATTATAATTTGAAGACATTTTCACTGCCTTCTTGACATTTTCTTATATTTTCCAATATTTTAACAATCAAAGCATTTTAGTCAGAAAACTCAAAATAATATTGTGAGAAAATCCGTCTTATATAAATGTAAAATGTGAACAGTCTTCTTTTTTTTTTTTTTCTTGAGTATGGATAAATTATCACACTTTGGGCTATCATTGGACCACAGAAGAGCCAAGTGTTAAAATAATAATATATGTATAATAGAGTTCTGTTCTCCCTTTCACATAGTTAAAAAAATTACTATAAAATATCACATATCCAAGGTAGAAAACTAATTATCTATAAAAAGGAAAATAAGACTTCATGTAATACCCCAATTTGGAATAACTACTGCTAGCTTTGGGATTCCTTTGTTCTTTTTTTTCTGGTAACTCAAGATTTAAAGCTAGGGTACTGATTTGAGCTTTTTTTTTTTCTTTTTTTTTTTAGTGCAGGAGTTCACACCTACACATCTACCTCCAAGCACTGCCTTGGCAGCACAGCATCAATTTTTGGTATGCGTGTTTCATTCGTTTGTTTCTGAGTTTTTCTAATTCCCCTATGAATTCTTCTGTAATCCACTGGTACTATAAGAGTGTGTTAATTTTCATGTATCTGTGAATTTTCTATTTCTTACTGATTGATTCTATTGTGACCGGAAAAGATCTTCTGCATGATTTTAATATTTTTAAATTTATAGAGATACATTTTGTGGTCTAACATTCGGCTTATCCTGGAGAGTGTTCTATGAGAAAAGCCACTGTCAATAGTTTTACATTTCCCATTGGAACTCTGCTGGGCACCTATGGTGTACTGACCTATAACCACATTTGAAGAACAAAATGTAACTCTAACGTATCATTTGTATTGGTTGTATATTATTCCATTACTTGACTGTATCATAATATATTTATTAAATGCATGGTTGGATATGAGACAGCTTTTATTGTTTATTGACAGCTTTTATTTTATTTGTGTTTTCAGCACAAAACAGGCCTTCAGTGATTATGGATCCATAAATACCTGGACTGAGATACTGAGCCATAATAACTACTACGTGAGTACCACTATGGGGTAAGCAATAGCTCCAGGTCTTCCAATAAAAATCTCGCAAAGACACGTAACACGGTCGGTAACCAACTGCTCAAAGTAAAGCATTTTTAGAAGACTCTTACCTTGGATCTTCTTGAAAACCCTGGAGTTCATAAACTTAAGGAATCGGTCTGCATAAAAACTTGGTCTATGAACGGACACGGTGTCCTGAAAAGACAAAGGATCACAGGTTTGCCTCTTGGAGTGCGCATCCGGGCAGGTCAGAAGGAAGACGGGTACCGCTGGATCTCTGCCAGCCAATGATCGTAAGCAACAGAGGCCCCGAGTTAGCAAAAGCCAAGCTCTGGGTGCCGCGGGGCCCCACAGTCTGGGGCTGGCCAAAGAGGGGACAGATGATTCCAACAGAGGCTTGGCTGGAAGGAGCATTAAGGAGGCAGGAGAGAGACGGAGAAGAGACTCCTCTGTTCATCCAAGCAGCTGAGCCTTATCCACAACACTGCTCCAGGAGGGCTCCTAAGTTGGTCTGTTTAAACGTATAGATAGCTAGCACTTCAAATGCCATCCAGAATGAAGGGCAAGTACAAACAATGGGGACACAAACAACACAACCCTAACACCACAGTGACATCTACATAAAAGATGTGTTCTGGCTTTATCTCCAAGCAATCAGGTGAGCAGAGAGTAGGAAGAGGCTGGGAGACCAGGCTAAGGGATGACTCTTGTTACATTGAATTAACTACTAATTACTTAGAGTTGGATTGGATTAAACTGTGAACTCTTGCCTTATGCTTGGCAGGTGTCCTTGGGACTGTACTATAAATCCAGGAAGGGGGATGGATGAAAGTGCCAATTTTTCATGTGTGTTTGGCAATCATCAAAACTGCAAATTTGTGGAAACAGTAAACTTACTTATTATACACAATCCTCCATTTTGAATCCAGGTTCATGGGCTCTAACAGGGAAATTTCTAAAAATGTAGGTTTAGAGACTGCAAAGTCTGCTGTAGGGTTCTAAGAAAATAATACACGTAGGACCAGTAGCCAGGTGGCCGGGCTCTGTGTCAGATGGGACCCTGCAGGGTGTGTGACGCTGGGGAAAGCCAGCAACCCCGGGCTTCCGTTTCTTCCTCTGTGAAGCAGTGCTGGGCGAGCTCCGTGGTCCCTTTAAGGTGGGATCCCTGCAACTCTGGAATCCACATGTCATGAAGGACACGGCACGCAGGAGCCCTCTTAGGCTGTGTTCTAACTTTCCTCTAGACTTCCGGAGGGTGTGTGTGTGTGTGAATGTGACAGGAAATCTACCACTAGTTTAAGGTGTGCTCTTCTGAGAATCCCAGCAGCTTTTGCCTGAAGTGAGATTTTCCATGTAGAGTGATAGGGAAGTACTGGTGGGATGCAGGGACTGAAGGCACTACACAGAAGGTCAAGACCCAGCCTCGGGGCCAAGACCAAAGTTACATTACCATTCTTTGTTCAAAAACACACTATTCAAATAAGAGACACATTTGTAAAGAAACTAAGTCTTGAGTATTGCCTGTAAGTTCACACATAACAGCACTGAGATTTTCTTAAATTAAAAAAAAGAGGAAAATATGTTTTAAACAGACCAAAGTAGGGCCCTTAGAAACACACAGCTAACACAAGATCAAGCTATTCAGAAGAGCAGTGTCTTCCGCTGGTGATGATCTGAAGCTCTCTTAGAAAGCAGGAGGCTTGGGGCATGGAGTTATGGAGTTGTGGAGCATCTGCTTCTGGCTGATAAAAATGTTCCAGAATTCACTGTGGTGATGGTTGCACAACTTGGTAAATACAAAAGAAACGAGTGGAATGCAGACTTTAAATGAGTGACTTGTATGATTATGTGAACTGCATCTCAGTAGCTGATTTTTAAAAAGTAAGTGAATGACACAGGGTGTTTATTCTCTCTGCCTTCTATGTGGGAAGTACTATGTCGTCCCTACCTTTCTTAGCAGGCAGGAAAAATGAAATTAACCCACCATGTTGACCTTCTCCTAAGGGAAATCTCTGATTTGAGCAAGGCTCAGGTTGATTCTTGGAAACAACCCGTGAAGCTGCTGTGGGACACGGCTCAGCCCTCTGCCTACGGAAGAGACATGACGCTCCTCTTTCACGCCCACAGGTTCGGAACAGTCTTCCAGAGAACCCAGACCGGGTGCGTTCTTTTCCCAGAAAGGACCAGAACAACATCTACCATTCATCCTGTGTCTGCTAACCTCTGAAAAGGAAATGTGCCACCAAGTCTTTGACCAATGTCATTTTTGGAAGTGCTACTTCAAATTATTAACAGACAGGCTTAGGGCAGGAAGTGTTCTGTCAGCAGCAGGATGCTGAAATCCAGTATCGTGTGTGTGTGTGTGTGTGTGTGTGTGTGTATAGACAGAAAGAGACTCCTTTTTGACAATCAACTTCTTCAGCAATGTCAACCAAGACACCTTCCCATCAGTCAGCACGTGCAAATGTGTGCATAGAAGCCCATACCATGGATTTGCAGAGCCCACTGTCTCTGAGGTTCTTACTTGCTAGTCATGTGTTTGCACACTGACACGCGTCACTTGATTTCACCCTCCCATCAGGCGGGTACTGTGAGCAGCCCCTGCTATGGATGAGAAAGCCCAGGTGACCCAGCTCGTCCAGGGGCAAGTGCAGAGTTCCAGCCCTGGGCTGCCTCCATCAAAGTCAGGATCCAAACTTGTCCAGTCTGGTGGTGTGGGAACTTCATCTCAGCTGCCCTATTGATCTCCCCCGTACCTAGGAACAAAGCTTTCTTCTTTTTTCTCCTCAGTCTCTCATAATCGGGTCTTTGAAGATTTCACATAGAAATGCATTGTTTTCCTGGCCTCTCCATACCCACTCAGCTGCCTGGCATCTGTCTGAACGGCCATTCAGATTTATGTTGTCTTTGTTCTTTGATTTCAACCAACCCACTAATCTAAGATCTTGAGTTTCTAAAGATCTTCATTTGCTCTCCTCTTCCAGTCTAGTGACTCAGATTTCTAGACACACTCTGCAGTCTCAAGGAACAGAAGCCACTCACCCCATCATACACGAGAGCTTTCCAGGAATGTTCTAGCTTCTTCATTAACCTAAACGTAAATAGAACAACAACAATGAGTGTGTGAAAATGTTCCCACATAGTGAATTTTTAGATTCATTGTGAAATTAATCTTTTCCTTGATTAGAACAATTAATATTTCCTTGTAGAATAATTAAAGGTGATGCCCCAAAGTGTCCTACCTATATGATTGGAGAATGTCAATAATGCCCATAAACAAAAGCAGCTTTTCTCCCTTATGGCTTTTGGCTGGAATGCCTCCCATTCTGTTGACAGAGGAAGAAGAAAATATTTTATCATGTATGGGTTTTAAGAATAGAAAGCTAAACAGTCATTTCTAATAAACAGACTAAAAATAAAAACAGACCCTTAAGAATTTTTTGCCATCTTCCCTTTCATCCTCTTTCCTCCCCGTCCCTGCTTTGGCTTCAGTGAAAACTTCCCTGGGAATCCAGAATGATGTACCGCCTACACTGGAGAAGAGCATGGCTATCAGCTCTAAAGAGTAAATGGGAAGGATCCGGTGTAAAAATGATTCCTACTCTAGGGGCCAGCACTGTGGCAGAGCGGGCTAAACCTCTGCTGGCAACACTGGCATCCTGTATGGATACCAGTTCATGTCCTGGCTGCTCCTCTTCTGATCTGGCTCTCTGCTGGGAAGGCAGGAGGGGATGGCCCAAGTGCTTGGGCCCCTGCACCCACGTGGGAGACCCAGAAGAGGCTCCTGGCTCCTGGCTTCAGATCAGCCCATCTCTGGCCATTGCGGTCATTTGGGGAGTGAACCAATGAATGGAAGATCTTTCTCTCTCTTTTAAATAAATTTTTAAAAACTTAAGAAAAATTATTCCTACTTTAAATCTATGAACAAGAATTTTTAGAACATTATACAATATTGCTTTTTAAAAATGTAACACTTTTTCTAATCAAAACCACAGTATATTTTGTGAGAATTTTAAATAAAATACACAGGGCACAAAAGAAAAAAAAATCCATCCTTGGGATGCATAACGTGTGGTATACCTTTCTGGTATCTATGTGTGGGATCTATTCATCTACAAAGGGGATGATTTATCATGTTTCATAATCTGAATTTTTCATTGGCTAAATATTGAACACTTCATCAAATTCAATGCTAATATGATTTTTAATAGCTGCCTAGTACTTCACCATATCGATATAGAATAATTTGTTCAACTGGTTATTGGATAGTCAGATGGATTTGCAAGCAAGTATTAAAAAAAGGTTTAATATGCATCAATTTCCTTCATAGCAGTGAAATACGCCTGCCATTTAGTCATTGCTGGAGAATCTGAGGAGCCTTGGAAAATGATCTTCTTTCAGTCTCTTTGCTTAGCTAGCACACTCTCCTGACAGTCAACCATTTCAGTAACTGCGTTTGGCTGTAATTGTTTCCGTTAGTTAACACGCACTTTATATATGCAAATAAATCCCGCAGTTCCGTCTACATCTGGCAGAGGCGAGAGACCACATCTGCCAGGGTGCAGGACTAGAACAGAATCAATCCCCTTATGCAGATAAAAAGCTCTGAATTGCATCATTCCCGCCTTGGACTTGCTTCAATACACGCTTATTCAAATTCAAAGTTTATTCCCTCCCTGTGGTGGGTACCCTGAATACATAGTAAATGGGCATTAAAAGCATCTTCGGCCACTGTTAAAAAATGGAGTCATTTGAAAAAAAGAAACCACGTGGGATAAAGAGGAATAATAACTCAGGAATGATACCCATCTAGTCATCCACAAAGGAAGAGAAATGAAGGCCCGCTTAACCCATTTTAGCACCATGTGGGAATCTATTCCCAGAGTGCCACCCCAGGGGGACAAGATGCCAGTCACTGCCCAGTGGCGTGGGCTGTCACCAGAAGGGGTGGCCATGTGGCTGCACTTACGTGTCTGGGTTCTCTGTGATGATGCCATCTCCAGACTTCCCTGGACCCTGGATGGATTCCATGGCTGTCGAGTAGAGGACCTTCTGCATGCCGGGCCGCTTAGCATCCGGCACGTTTTGTGCGGTCTCCTCTTCTTTCTCTTTAAGGCAATGGTCCAAGATGTGGATCCCCAGCAAAAGGCTATAGTCCATGATCTTGAAGCTCTCCAGCACCTGAGAAACAGCAGCAGGAGGCCAGTCAACCCAAATGCTCTGTAACCCAGGGGCCCAGAATCAAGAGCTCTGGAGCTGCAGACACACAGCTCCTGCATCGGGCCCAGGCGTGGCTGATAGAGGAAAAATAGGAAAAATCAAAATAAAACACTTGAGGTTATTACCAGGCCACACACATGAAGGATGATCACATGGCTGCAAGAGGAGGCGTTTATGCAAGTCCAAAGCAAGCACATCTTTACTCAATGGATCACGACCATCTCACTAGCAACATTTATTCACTATTCTCCACAGGCCAGGGGCTGAGTGGCTGACTTGGATTTAATCCTCACAATAACCCCTCGACTTAGGTGCTGGTGCTGTGTTTTTTACAGAGGAATAAAGTAATTTGTTCAACAGCGCAGCACATGTAAGTGACAGGGACCCAAGTGATCAACTATGGCGTCCACACTGTTCAGCACTGAACTCACAGTGTCCACAGGCTTGTAGCCTCCTCGGGATGAAGACCCAGCGGCAGAGTCTGTTTCTGCCTGGATTCTGTCCTCAAAATCGTGATCTTGCTGGGGTTCTGGGGTCACTTTTTCAAAGCCTATCTTTCAAAGGTGCCAATCAGTTCCCTACAGCAAGTCTTTTAAAATACACGATCTCAGAAAAGAACAGTACTTAATACTTAATGAGCCACTCAGCAGACAGTGGGGAAGCGAGGGGATTAAAAATAGTTGGCTACGGCCAGACAAAGGAGACAGCAGCTCCTAAAGGAAGATGACAGGAGCCAAGGCCTGGGCGAGAGTCCATCCCAGTGGCCTCAGCGTCCAGGTGGGAGATACACACCAGGACCCCTGTTGGGTGAAGGAAGAATGTTCAAGAACAAAGCCTGAAAACTGGGTGCTTTCCTCTACTGATAGTTATTTTTCTACTAATTTGTATGATTCTTCCCTACAATGGACTTTTAAAAAAAGGTGCTTATTAATCTATATTGTCTCCTGATTTTAATGAACTATTTTATTTGAGAGGCAGAGAGACAAGTGAAGAGCGAGAGAGACAGAGAAAGCTCCAATCTGTCGGGTCATTCTTCAACTGCTGGCAATAGCCAGGCCTGGGTCAGGCTGAAGGCTGGAGCTTTGAACTCAGTCCTGGTCTTTCACTTGGGTGGCAGGGATCCAACTACTTGAGCCATCACCTGTTGCCTCTCAGGGCTCACATTAGCAGGAAGCTGGAAATGGAAGCAGAGCTAGAACTTGAACCCAGGCACCTTGATATGGGACACAGTTGTCCCAAATGATGTCTTAACCACTGCGCCAAACACTGTCTCCTAAGTGGACTTAATATTTTGCATTTCTCACACAAATCTGCCCAGGAAATCACAATAGCCCAGAAAGTAAGATGACCCTGACTGGCAGAACAGGTACCTCTGAACTAAGGTGACAACCAGTCCCCAGACCCTAGTTCAGAAATGGCTTGGAAGAGTGCAATCTTTAGACAATTGTTTAAGCAGGGATCAAACACCCACAACTTCTTAGGCTTCTCATTCTCCCTCAGATCAACCACTTTGTGATCACATATTTATGATGTACTAAAGAGGGATCGGGCCCACGGTCTCAAATACACATGGATGCCACTTCATGTATGTCCTCTGATAGAAGACTTTGTGAACTTCAGACTTTGTAGCTTCAGAACACACTGTTATCCCTAGGTCTTTTTTGGGCATCTTTGCCATCAATGAGAAGTGAGCTGCAAATGGGTATCAATTATTCCAGAATGTTCAATTCCCCACCCCATCTTTGGATACCCTGAGTTACTGTCAGGAAGGAGGCAGGGAAGAACTGGTGTAGATCCTTATTATTTAAGATAATAAGGCTCAGGCCCAGTAATTTTCAAACCCAAGTGATGTGAGAGCAGTCTGGTAACATGTGGCCAACCTCCCTAAACCAAGGAGAAGGTCCTACCAAGACCAGGAGGAGGACAGGTGTTTGGGGCACTGGTTAAGTGTCCCATATCAGAGTGCTTGTTTCAAGTCCCTGCTACTCTGCTTATAATCCAGCTTCTTGCTAACGTGTACCCTAAGAGATTAGCAGATGACGGCTCAGATAGCTGGATCCTGGCTGTTTCAGGCACTTGGGAACCAATGGACAGAAGATCTCTTCCCATTTGTCTGTCTCCCTTACTATTTCTCTGCCTTTCAAATAAAATGAAGAAAAAAAAGTTAAAAGACTGGAAGAGGAAGGGAGGGGTGACAGGTAACAGCCCTTACCACTGTCGTTTCCAATAGCTGTTTCTCTAGGGAGGGGTATCAACGCCTCACCCCACCACAGAATAGCACAGACCATGGAAGACAACAGCACTATTTTGTGTTAGGGGCTCCCAGAACGCAGACCCTCACAACACTCGTGGATACTGGGTGCTTTCTTCACACAGAAACAGGCAAGAGGAGGGTCTTAGTCGTCTGTGATTCTGGATCCCACAGAAATGGTGGCTTAGGAGCAGCACCCATCCTGACAGCTTTCTCAGCTCTTCCATCACAATCAGCATCAGCGCAAAGCCTCCACTCCCACTCCTCAGGGAGACTTTGCTGGAGGGAACAAAGGCCCGGTGCTGCAGCCGGGGCGGGTACAGCACTTTCCCGTGCCTCAGCTTCCTCATCTGTAAAGGATGCCAGTAACAGCACTTGTTGTATAGGAGTCTGTGAAACAAATCCTGCGCTGCAGGCAAGCTACTGGGAAAAGCTTCCGGTATAAAATAACCCATCCAGCAAATGCTACATACTATCACCGTAATTATAACACACAGGGACTCATGCTGACCCTACTGTGAGAGACTCCAGGCTCCAGCTTCAAGTAAGCAACAAAAATCCACCAAGAAGTCTCCCCCAACCCCATATCAAGAACCCTCAAAACAAAACAAAAGCCTGTTGTTTGTAGCCTGCTCACTAGTGTCATTTTGGCAAGTTCTGATTCCTTTAAAAGCTCTGGGTGTGTGAGTTCCTGATGATATCACCTGCTTGGCTGACAATACGGCGATTCTGGCCAAAGGGCTATAGAATGACTGTGCTATAACCTGGATGTGGGAACAGCCCATTTACAACTGGAAAAAAAAAACATCCTTGTGCCCTGCACAGCCCAAAGCACCAATTTGTAAACGTTTCCTTCAAAGCAGAGAACTGGTCTCAAAAGCAAGATTTTTTTTTCTTTTTTAAAGATTTATTTATTTAAAAGTCAGAGTTACACACAGAGAGGAGGCGGGGTGAGGGGAGAGGGAGGGAGGGAGGGAGGGAGGGAGGTCTTCCATCTTCTGGTTCACTCTCCAATTGGCCGCAACAGCTGGAACTGCACCGATCCGAAGCCAGAAGCCAGGATTTTCTTCTGGGTCTCCCATGTGGGTGCAGAGGCCCAAGGACTTGGCCATCTTCTGTTGCTTTCCCAGGCCATAGCAAAGAGTTGGATTGGAAGTGGAGCAGCTGGGATTCGAACTGGCACCCATATGGGATGCTGGCACTGCAGGCGGAGGATTAACCTACTGTACCACAGCGCCGGCCCCAAAAGCAAGTTCTAATCATACTCCAGCAATGTTGGGAGTGCTCCTGACATGCATCAAGAAACCACTGGCTTGAGTTCAGAGGAGTAAAGATTTAAAGGCATTCCTGACACCATCATATTTATTTCATTTTCCTCTACAAAGCATACAGAAATTAATCCTTCTTGGGAAATAGTTTTAAGAAGGCTGGTGCTGAGGCACAGTGGGTTAAGCCACTGCCTGAGATGCTGGCATCCCAAATGCGTGCAGGTTCAAGTCCCTACTGCTCTACTTCCAACCCAGTTCCCTGCTAGTATACCTGAGAAAAACAGTGGAAGATGGGCCCCTGCATGCACGTGGGAGACCCAGAAGAAGCTCCTGGCTCCTGGCTTCAGCCTGGCCAAACCCTGACCATTGCAGCCATTTGGGTAGTGAATCAGTAGATGGAGATTTCTGTCTGTCTGTCGTCTGTCTCTCTCTGTAATTCTGCCTTTCAAATAGATAAACACTTTTTAAAAAAAAAAAAAAGCTTTAAGTATTTATTTGAGACAGATTCTTCTTATCTACCAGCTCATTCCCTTAATGCCTGCAACAGCTAGGGCTAGGCTGAGCTCAAAGTGGGAGCTGGAAACCTCCTCAGAGTCTCTCACACAGGTGGCGGGGGGGCACGTGTTGAAGCCATCCCCTGCTGCCTCTCCAGGTGCATCTTGGCAGGAAGCAGGAGTGGAGAGCAGGGGCGAGGCTCCAACTCAGGCACTCCAATATAGGATGTGAACATCCCAAGCATTATCTTGATCACTTCGCCAAATGCCCACCCTTCAACCTGAGCTGTTTGGATTATACTCCCATTCTCGTGTACTGACGATGGACAGGCCACAGAGATCCTGTGTATTTCACAGGTGACATGAAGGCAGGCTGGGGTTCAACTCTAACTACTGGACAAGCATCCTGGTGCTTTAGGTGCTGACATGTTTGACCTGGTTTATTTTTTTAAAAAAAAGAAGAAATTTTAAGATGGAATTAACTTAAAAAAAAAAAGCAATAGGAAACTTTAAAGAGATTCATTTTCTCTGTCCTCTTAAATTAGATCATCAGCATCCTGGAAGAATGCTGAAGTGTCCCCAGGAGAACCACACTCCTACTTCCAGAGTGAAAGGCTTAAAAATAAGTCCTGTTCCCACGGTGCAAAACATTTGCCACTAAGTTTTTGTGGCCAGACAAAATCACCATCCACCAAAAAAAAAAAATTAAGGAAGAAAAAGATAAATATACACACATATATTTTAAATTCAATTTAAAAACTTCCATAATGAAAAATTCTGGGAACAGATTTCAGTCACATGTTTTTAAGATCTGCATCAATTAGGAACAAAATAGTGCTGTTATTCACATCCTCCCAGTCCTTTCATTAAAGGAATTGATAAAAGTGCCAAAAAATTTTTGCATGCATGAGCTTTCAGGGGTAGCTAAAACAACAGCTCCTTCTGACC